ATGTTTAAGCATATGTACACTTTATTAAAAAGCATTTGTTGAAAGAAATAACACCCTAAAAGTATATTGTGTGGTTCAATAGGGCAAAAACTGAACTCTTTGGATGTCATTACACAGAGTGTGTCTGAAGGAAAAAACGGAACTGAACGTCACTCCAAAAATACCCTACCAGCAGTAAAGTTTGGAGATAAGAACACACTGGTGTGGTGAGTCTTTTGGGACATGGTACTATATAACTGAGAGTAGGATGAATGCAAAATTGGCTTAAGACATTCTTGATCATTTGAAAGTGAGTATATAGGTGCATTTTTAGACCAATGCATGAAAACACCAGGCATCAGAAAAAGGAAATATATCTGCTGGAAGAGAATATATCCGGTCATAACCTGACCTGAATTCAATTAGAAATAAACATAAAAATAAAAGACCCCAGGAGGCCTTGAAGGACAGTTTGAGTGGAAGAACCATTTGAAATCCCACCAAAGCCATGGTAACTTTTCCACCAACAAGAAATATTCTGAAGCTGAATTTTGAAAAATGAAGTTTTTTGTGTTCAAAGTTTGCCAGTTTCATTTCACATAATTTCAAACAACTTTATTTATGCATGTATTTGCTCTGATTCCTTTGTGTGTGAATTAGCAAGTTGTTTTTTTTTATCAACATCTGGAATGGATTTCAAATTGAGAAGACTATAAAAAAAAAAAAAACACTGTACTATACTTGCTGAAAAAAAAGGTTTGTCCAATACTTATTTTCCTCGCTGAATGTCTGGAAATGTTTCAAATTTAAAACAAGCCTTACATAATCAGGCAACCTTTCTCTTTTTTGTCTGATGTTTATCCAAGAAAAGGACCTGACATAATTCAATCGCCATTAATGCACATGCTCCTGCTTCGATTCATTAAGACATGTTGAATTCTGGTACGAGTCTAATCAGATTTTTTCTCCCGTTGATGATCTGGAGATACTAGGGAATTCCCATTGAGTGATCAGAAAAAAAATGTATTGCAGGCAGGCTTGCGTTTAAAGGAACTTCTACGGTAAGACATTTTTTTACTCGCCTTAGTTTTAAATAGCAGAGGAATTACTCCTGTTTTTCTCAAAATTTTGGTAATAATCACAGTTATTTACCAAAGCGCCTGGGTCTTAGCCAAAACATAATTATGCTGGAGTTATTCTGTGGGTACTCAAGAAAACCAAATGTTTATATTCTCCTAACCATGCACTCTAAAGTTAACATTACATAAAATTGATAGGTTTGCTTTAAATAAATATGCTGCACTCTGTTGCTGAAAAACAAGAGAAAATTCTCGCCTAAAACATATTTAAAAGGTACTAGAATGATAAATGCACTTCTCTAATTTGAGATTTGTTTTTTTTCTCATACAACAGTTGTACACACAACTACTAACCTTTGTGTTTCTGCGAAGACCTCGCAGAATTTTCATTGTTCTGTGATCATCAATCTCTTCGATGGAATTGTCCTTTTGAGGTACTCCATCATCCTGGCTTGCCTTTGGTGGACCACCCATCTCATCATCGCTGCCAAGAGAGAAGCTTGTCCTAAAACTACTAAACTTTCCAAGCCGTTGGGACCTGTCTCTGTAAAGTTTTGGCTTTTCACCAAAAACAGACAGCTTTCTCCTGCGCTCCAGCGAGCTGCTGTCAGCTTCACTGTCTGAACCATTCCCTGAAGCACTTCCATTGGTATGACCCTTGTTGGCGTTGCGGATTGTGACAATCTTGCCCTGTGTGCTGTCATGGGGAACAGAGTAAATAGTCTCATCCTCCTTGGGTCGAGGTTTGTAGACAGCATCCATAGGTTCGGCATAGTCCGAGGGGTCATAGCCTCCATCTGTCCCTGGAGCCCAGGTCACGGTTTGGTGCAAGTACGGTCGGTTAGAGGTTCCTTGCTGATCAACAAACGTTCCGAGATTTACTTTACGGAGGGGCTTGGGCTTCACTTGTGGAGGCAACCTGTTGTTTACCCTGCTTTCAAATGTACCAATATCAGAAAGGACAGAAAATGTATCTGTTGATTCTAGATCTGGCAGCTTGAAACTTGCCATGGTGGAACTTAGACTACTAGCCTCCCTTAGAGTAGAAAAAGGGGAGGATGGGTCAAAGTCATCTTCAGAGTCCAAATGAACATGAATTGGACTGGGGGACCCACAGCGAGGGCTGATGCTCTCATTCGTAGATGCCTCGGCTGTATTATCATACATGTGTGCTGCCTCAACAACATTGCGCTTCTCCATCACCTCCTGGAAGAAGGACTGGAAAAGGTCTATCTTATGAAGTCCCCCTACTACACCACCATGTCCACATATTATTGTGCTAAACCTTGCATTGATTTCATGGGCCAGCTCCTCTCCCTGACAAATTTGTTCCTTAGCTGAGTCAGAGTCAGACAATTCCATCTGACTCTCCCCTACCGCTAGCAACTGGATTGGGACAATGTCTTGGACTTCACAAAGGAAAGCGCACATTGTCTCCATTGAAGCTTTGCGACGGGCAGAATAAACTGTGATGTACCCATGGACCAGGCCTGTTTTTCGTAGTGAAAATGAGGAGTGGAAAGAGAGCAAAGACAACTCAACATTCTGCCTGTGACCTCCTATAATTAGATCCAGGAGAACAGACGTTCCACTGCTAAGGCTTGACCCAGGACGACAATGTTGAGGCAAAAGGAATGGTGCAAGTAGTTGATCTAAATCATATGTGTCCCCACACATCAGGCACATGACTATTCGGAGGTCTGCCTCAAAGCCTTGCTGAGACTGAGAGTCTCTGTAAGCTGAGGATAAAGGCGGCAACGTAGGGGAGCTACTTCCAATGTTTCTCCTGGTTTCTAGGAGGCCTCTAAGCATCTGGCTAAGCTGCTTCTCACTGACATTGCGGCCATAACCCTTACCTGGAGAGGCTGGGTCTAGGTAGGAACACTGCAGCTTTGTAGCTACTTGCTGCCCTTGCTGTATAAGAGTCTGAGCCGTTTCCCCTCCGATATCCCCAATGGAACCGACGCCCCTCTTGGTGACTAGAAGGAGGGACAGTGGGAGCTGAGCTAAGCTGTTTTCCCTTTCCCTTCTGCTTATGGTCGACTCTCTAAGCTTTTCTAAACTCTCAACAACATAAGAAAGAGATTCCTTTGAGTTGTATAAACAAAGGCATCCATGGGGTGTGAAGGTGGGTGTGTGGAATGAGTTGACAGGCAGACGTACATTGCCTTCTATAGGCCGAAGGGTTAACTCGTATAGCTTGCCATCAACAACATACCTGTCATCACTGGTGCATAATGCCCTTATCTCATTTGCCATTTCTCTGGCTAGTCCATCTCTCCCTAGAATGACTAGATTTATCCGTTCAGCCCTTCCTCCTTCCAGTCTAGCACTGTCTGATGATGGGTATCGGGTGGGGAATCTGGAAGCCAATATCTGCTCGATCTTAGTGTCAACACAGTGGGGGCTGTTAGGGCACGTATCCTTTGTAGGATGGTAGACAAAGTGGATGTGTTTCAGTACTAGAGCATCCCTTTCTGCTTGCAGCTTCTGCAGTGCTTTAAATCTTTGCTCCTCGCCCAACACCTCCTGAATGGCTCCCATTTTCTCTTTACTTGGTTTGGCATCTACTTCCAACTCATAAAAGAGCTCAGAATATTCAAGAAGTAGTTCCTGAAAGTCTTCTTTGGCCCGGTCAATGATTTCCTTTTGATGTTTGTTGTAGATGTCTAAATATTCAGCTTCATCCAGCCATTGGTAGAAATCCTCATTCATGATGAAACTTCGAGCCTCTTCCCATGGTTTTCCTGGTGTGATGAAAGGAGAGACACTTAATCTTTCTTTAAACTCCCATCTCATCTCTGCCCGCTTGCGCTCCTTCCTTAACTGATCTAAATGGGTTTCATAGATGGTTTCAGCTGCTGGAGTCTCCAACAAGTCCTGTGGGATCCTATCATCATCCATTTTATCAATGTGTGGAGTTGTCTCCCAAGGGGTATCATCTAAAACTACAAACCACTGAGAGAAATCTCTCTTTGTCTCCAAGACCTTCTGAACTCCAGACCAGCTCAAGTGGTCTATTTCATCCAAGTGTGGTATGAGCACAGATAGAGCCTGTGGTAGAGTATTTAGATAAGCCTTCCTGCGTTTCTCTATGTGCTCTTGTTTCAGTCTATGCACATGCTGTTGAAAGAGCTTCTTTGCCTTTGCAGTTCCTTCAAGAAAAACATATTCCTTGTACTCAGGAGCTGTCTGCATACGACGGCTTACAGCAGGCCACGTCTCATTATGGTTATTGACGATTCTGTTGACCAGCCACTCATAGCGGTCTTTGGCTAAAGCAATCTGTTGGCTCTGCTGCTTCAGGGCCTCAAAGTATGGGATAATCCTGGGTTTTCCCCTGCTCTTGTCTATGAGCTGAACCAGAGTAAGAAATGCCAGGTCAACATTGACATTTGAGCGGGCTGAAGTTTCAACCACTTGCAGATTCTTTTTTGCAAGGGCAAAAGCATGACAGTCTTTAATGTAGCGCTCAACTCCTTCATCACATTTGGTGAGAGCCAGTACCACAGGCTTTTTTGTTTTGGCTAGTTGATTATGCAGGTTGCCAACAAACTTCATTTGATCTTCAAAGCTACGATTCATACCTCTACTAACATCCACAACAAGTAAGAAGCCATCCACGATAAGCTTGCCTTCTGGCATTTGCTTTTGCTCAAAGTCCTGCTCCAGCCCCAGCTGATCTGTGCAAAAGTACATCAGCTTTTCAGCTGAAGCCAGCTTGGTGGAAGCTGCCCTCTTGATGTAAGGCTGGAGCGCCGTGCTACGGTGTGGCTGGAATGTCTGATCATCAATGAACTCTGTCTGCTCCACCACATTCATACGGCACTCTTGCCCCTCTTCCAACGTCCTCCCAGCTTCTCCCCAGTACAAAAAGTGGTCATTATTCACCACCCGGCCTCCAAAGTCGCTGGTACTCAAAACTGACGTGTGGTCCAAGTAGAAGTCATCTGCGCTCGGCCGAACAAAGCGGTTGCACAAGCAGGACTTGCCCACACCACACTGGCCTTTCTCCTTTTCTGTGCCAGACAACCCCACCACAACCAGGTTGTAGATGGGAGCCCGGGCATCTTGTTTTTTGGCCATCATTATCCCATGCAATGGCTCATCCTGCTATGCTGGCTGCTAGCACTTTGGAGAGGAGATGCCTGCCAGGGAAGCACGGTTTCCATGCAAAAAGGATCTCACGAGTTAGATCTTGATCTGCAAGATATGGAAAAAGAAAAAAATGAAAACAGAAAATTAGTCTCCAGAACATAGTAAAGGAGAACATTTATCATTAGTAAGCTTTTGTGTGTCCCTCATTTAAATTCCTACTATGTTCCTACATTCTGTTATTAATGTTTAATCTCCGATCCAATTTCCCCTGTAAATGTTTCCTGAAAAGATTGAGGTCAATGGCAAAGCTGTTGGAATTTAGTACATTACTTTGCCAAGCTTTAGTTCAGCTAAAGATAATGTCCCACCAGTTTTACTCATTAAATTTTTGATCTCCAAGGACTTTAGTGCTAACAGTTCTCCCTGCCACATTTCACTCATCTTCGTGGGATCCCATATGTGTTTTTGGTTTATTATGCAACATCTAACAATCTTACAGCAAACAGACATCAATGTGTACAGAGGCCACTACAGGCTTGTGTAACAGGCAAACTAATCTGCCTGCATCCCAAATGAAAGACACACACACACACACATTCTTGGCTTGCTATATTTACTGAAGACCATGTGTTGACTCCTATAGATTTTTATCACTTTCAATCCTTTCTATGCCCTAACCCTAAATATAATCCTAAATATAACTATTACCTTTGTATACCTAATCTATACCCCAACCTAAACTCAATTCCCACCAAAATCCTACTCTTAGCAAATTAGGAAGTGACAACCACAAAAATGTCCTCAATTTGATATAAACAGTCCTCAATTTGACGATAAAATGGCAAAAATGGTCCTCACTCTGATGCCAAGACAGAAGCAAACACACACACAAAGATGAAAGCAGATATGTGTTCAGAGCTTAAGTTACTAATTGGCCAACTAGGGAGAGCCATCTGCATTTTATAACGTGGCATTGCCTATTGGCTTATATGTCTTCATCAAAAAAGATGTTTTCCCATGTTTTTCATCAAATAGATCAGAGCGAGATAACATACCATTGTCTAGGTCTTAATGTGTTTATGTCAGTTTGACAAGATTTACTGATTTATGACAAACAAAAAACAAGGAATATATATATTACATACATATATACACCTATA